GAGCATTTTGACTGATTTTTCAAGAGCCACAGAATAGTTTGTGCTATGACTATGTAAACACCGAACACACCAAAAGAAAGAGTAGACGCTCTTCTTTCATCAGGAAAAAAAATTGTTTCTACCTTATTCCGTTCTTCCTGGACTTGCGTCTCACCGGCGACATGTTCTCTCATAGCGAACCGTTAGCTTTTTCTTATTTGTCTACAGTCTATGCTCATCTCCCATCAAAAGTGGCACTGCCCCCTAGAGGGTCAATTTGTTACTACATACTCTGTCTAGAAGCCGATATTTACGGACTATCTTCAGCAGATCGTCCCCCAAGTCACTCTAGTTGAAAAACATAAAAGACGTCTATAGACGTCTTTGGCAGCAAATGAGTTAATTATGTCTTTTAAACACATCTTTCAAACAATAAGATTTTGTATTCACATCAATACAAAGCTGAGTGAATAAGAATTATTTTAACAAGTGCTTTAAGTCTAATTTATTATGATATTAGTTCTTGTATTTTGTTTATAACATAGTGACAATAGTGATCTAAAACGTAATTAATTCTTCATTGAACAGGTTCATTCTATTCAGGTCTATAGCTTTGCCTTGTTCGGATAGAAATCACACTTCAAGTCTCCATCTTACTTCTTACTTTAGTTTGTCTTCACTTCCTTCTGCCTGTAAACTTTGACCTTAAGATGCCTCATTTCTGGAAGTTTAAGATAGTGTAAGACATTATTCTGCCCCCTCCCAGTGGGAGGTTTGAGCCATAAATGAACAGCTGTAATGGTTAAAACTCCAGTCTGAAGAAGCTCTGCAGCTCAAAAGATTTTTAACACTGAAACAGAATTGTTTAATATATTCTGTTCAACCCAAAAAATGAAAAAAAATAGCTAAAGAACATAATTATTTCTCATTCAAATGTCAGATTCTGTTTATTTCCTATCATTCACTGAACAGAAAGGAGAGTTTTAGTGGCTGAATGTTCTCAGATAAGCTCAGAATTGCTGAGAAGGGGAGAAAAAAAACTATAAAACTGGGTTTGAAATCCTGATTAGCTGAAAATGGTGAAACGCTGACACAAAAATAACAGAGAGGACTCCACTAAAACCTAATAACCTGATAAAGAACTCAATAACAAGAAAAACTGTCAAAAAGGAGAGAAAAACAATGGAAAAAGAATGGAAAAGGAGCCTTTAGCTGCTTCTCTTTGGGGTTTAACACATTAATAACTGATATATTTAGTTGTAAAAGGATTTTTAAATAAAGATTTCTACATAAATAAAGTGTTTTCTCGCGTTTCTAACAGGTGGAGTAATAAATCCCGGGCCACTAGGTGGGGCTTTGGTTGCTGCAGGTCACATGATCATTAATTATCGATGGCGTCTCGGCCTCCTAGTGTCTGACAGCTCCGAAATTTAAAAAAACTGAGAAAAAAAGATGGTTTTCAGGCCGACTTTCCGCGCACACGTCCAAATATTAAAGCGTCATCTTCCCTCCAAATTTTCCGGATCTTTTGAGGATCAAACGGGCCTCGAAAAATAATCATGGCGTTTGTTTAAGGGGGCTGGGGCCCCACCAAATAAAAACGAGTTGATGGATGGGCCTTTTAGTGTTGGTATTGGGTGGTTATCAGTTAATTTGCTGCAAATTACAGCAAAAGCCGGTAGCTGTGTGGCTCGGCTGGATAAATGCAACCAGACCACTTTCCACCGCGACTCCCCTCCTGGTGGTTTGTGGCTCAGAGAGCACAAAAGTCCGTGTAAAAGCACCAGAGCTTTGTGGAATATAACCTGACTGTCTTTCAAACACGTCAAACGGTGGAAGACTCTGTTGTTTTTTCTCTTTTGGGGCTTCTCTTACAGCCATTTTGTTCCACCGGGTAGAGACAGGTAACGTCCCAAACACACACGCATGCACGCACACACACAGAGACACGCAGCTGACACGCACGCACACACAAAGACACAAACACACACAGACACAAACACACACAAACACACACAGACACACACACACACTCACACACACACAAACCCGCGCACGCACACACGCAGCTGATATGCAAGCACACACACACACACACACACACACACACACGCTCACACACACGCAGCTGACACGCACATACAAACACACAGACACAAACACACACACACAGACACAAACACGCACACTCACGCACACACACACACACACACACACACACACACACAC